TTTTCTATTAATATACACATTTTATCTTATTAGTTGCATTAATTTGGAAGAATGCTTAATAAAGTAAGTTAATTTTCTGTCATATACGAGGAAGATTTGTGCTCGTGTTGTTTGGACGATTGAATGCAGATGTCTTATGCTCCGGATAAATGATTTGGGGATGACAATGTGCAATGTATGTATCATTGTTGTCCCCTGATTGATGTGTTTTGAAATTTAGTTTTAGGGGTTTTTTTTCTTCTTTTTCTTGTTTTCCTTGAAATAAAATGAATTTGGAGAAAAATTTTTTTCTGTCATATGTTACAATTACTTCTACAGCTTCGTTTGTCTTCCAGACTAGTACCGAATGTCTCGTGATGAAAACAAACTGAGACTTTACTAGTTAAAACATTCTCTATATTTCTAATTTCTGCCACTAGAAATCATTAAGGCTTTTAAGATCATTTAGTTAACCTACATTTAATTCCATGTCACTAGTTTTTAAGTTATGTAAAAGCTCTTCAAAGCTATCACAACAAGGACGTGGCTACTGCCTTCAGAAAAATGACAATCAACGCTTATCAAATACACTCTGGGAATTTGGTGACACCACTAAGGGTATCCTAGGAAGGGAAAGAGAAAGAGCTTAATGTGTATCATTTACAGATTCCTTATACTTCACCCAGGAGCTCTGTAACTTGCTCACCCAGTGGAAAAAATATTACCATTAAAATGGAAAAAGTTTTACCATTAGGTTTATGTTTAAATATTAAACCTCTGGATGAGATGACTCTCCCCCCTTTCAGCAGAACTGCAAAGATGTTTGTTTTATTCATTTATATATTTATTGTGAGCACAGGGCAGGCAAGCAGAATGCACCTGATTAACAAGAGCTGGAGGAGCTGATGTTTTATCAGTTAGAGCTGGGCGTACATCACATGTTGGGTGGGAGAGCAAAGAGCAAACTGTGGACTTCCCTGCTTTGTAGTAAGGAGGGGCAAAGTAAGGGAAACTGTACACGAAGGCAGAAACTAAGTTTCAGTTTTACTTTTCAGTTCACTGTAGAGATACTGATCTGAGTGTAAACAGAAACTGCCTCCAACTGGTGCAGGAGGATAGGGTACTGCACACTAGAAAACATTCAAAGAAAAAATTCTGGTGAGCAGATAATCAAGCAAACAATGGCTTTTACCCACCAAGTGACATAAAAGTCACCACTTTGTTTCACTGGATGCCACAACACTTGTGCAAAGTAATCAAAGTCAGATCTGGCCTTTATTACTTTGAACACAAGGAAGGAACAGTTCTGCAAATGATTTTGTATAACAACAGAAAAATCAATTATTTTCCAATCAGATGGAGTATCATAAATCTGAAGGACAGAACAGCATATAGCACCCTTTGTGAAAGCTTGGACCATAAGGCAGAGCGTAAACAATCATAATCCCAACGTTGTTAGTATTAGGAAAATGAGACCTTTCAAAAGTAGACCACTGAGAGGCCAGGGCTTAGCTCAGAGGCACAGTGCCTACCTGGCAAGCACAGGTTGGGAATCCGATCCCTGTAAAGAGTAGACCATTGTCCTGTCAGTGGGGTTTTATGAACTCACAAATTGGTATGAAGTGAACGTACATAATCCTGCCCTGCCTGTCCCTATAAAAGCCCCAATTTGCCTCTCTTCCAATTCTGGCTATGACTTTTCCCCAAATAGCACATTAAAATCCTTCACAGCATGATAACATACATAGAACACAGATAAATCCCCAAATTAATCCTTACTAGCAAAAACTTAATGTTAATGTATACGTTAGTAACTCAGTTCATGAACTTAGTTCTCTGATTCTGTTCGCAAACTGAATTGGATAAAGAACTGAATTAAATTCAATGGTTAGATTCTATGTTGTCCTAATGGGGAAATTCGATTTCACTGTCATCCAATTTGTTTCACAACTGTAATTGTGGAAAGAATTAAGCTTGTGAAATGGGGTACCACTGCATTTATCTGCTGTGGTTTAGATTTGGGATGTTTGTTCGAAGCCTCATGCACTCAGAGGCAGGGGCTTGTGGGAGGTGGCTGGGTGACGGCCCTACCACTGACTTGCTGTAAGGAGGTGGGCCTGGTTTGAGGCAGCTCTTTGGGGACATGACCTGACATCTCCCTCCCAGATCCTTCCACTGCTGTGTGTTGACACATATGTATTACTGAGAAAGGATGAGGACTCTATGAAACATAAAATTTAACCAATACAAGGTTGGGATGTCAGGTCTCACAAAAAGATCTGAAGAGTATAAGAAAGTTGGAAAGATGATTTTTCAAGTCTCCATAAAGGGCCAGGACAATGAATGTCCTGAGAAAATATATGATCCCTAGTTTCTTTAACACACAAATCCCTGATTCTACAAATATAAAAGCCCATTTACAACATTGAAAAGGTAAATCTATGGGAGGATATTTACTCCATATAAACCTTACGAGTTGGGTATCAAAGTGACATATTTCATGCATCTGGTCTCCTGCCTGGGAATGCCTTCCTTTCTCTGCCCTAATGCATCATGTGCTGGCCAGGACTGCACCCCTTCCTGGTGTTTCCTCACACCCTGGCATGGATAGGAGGTCAATAATGGGAAGAAAAAAAGCCCTACCAGGGGATGCCAGGCAGTTCATGGGCTACCGAGTCAGCCTTGTTAAATTAAGAAGACTAACTGCCAAAGCCATTTGTTCCCTGGAGCCCATTCCTGTATTTTCTAGAAGGGTCATCCTTGATTGACCCCAACAGACCTGTCACTAGCGAAACTGCAATCTCAATCTCCCCAGTGCTGCCCTCAAAACCTCCAGCTGCCCTCCATCCTGACAATGTCCCATCAGCTAGTCAGGGTTTAGGAAGGAAAGAGAGAGAGTGTTACATTGTGTGTCCAACAAAGCAGAACACACACAGCTCAACTGCCTCCAACTTTCTAGGAATAACTCTACTTAGAACACCAGTCACACCCACGGCAACATTTCCAACATTCTAACTCACATGCCTAGTTGATGAGATAATTCTGTTGTTTTATTAGTGTTGGGAAGAGCTGCTTCCTCCCCAGAGAGTGACCCATTCTTTATCTTATGCCAAAAAACCCTAAGAAAAATGCTGACCTATGCAGGTGACACATCCAGCTTAATCAGTGCTCTCAATTAAAATAATAGAAAATAAAGCATTCACTGGTCCACTCAGGCAGAACGTAATTCCCAGCACAGACACGCCCACTGAGACAGCTGACACTGCTGAGAAGTCTGGTTCTCAGCTGTGTCTTGAGAGCAAATTCATGACATCAGGTCCTGAGTTGCCCTGGAGAATCTCAGGCCCGCGCTGTCGGAACAAACTCGCATGTGAGTAAGATTTCCCAGGAGTCTTCCCAGCTTTTCAGTGCACCACACTCTAAATAACAGAAGCCAGGATTTGCAGGGACAGAGCGCCCTCCCCATCTCTAATCACACTATGGGGCAGAACCCTGCCCACTGTGCAGAATTCCTCAAGTTGACTTCTCAAAGAATGCTTCAGGGTAAGTAGCTAAGCCTGGGTAAGGAGGGGGCTGCCAGGGGGACTCAGCACAAGTTCTCCTCCTCTTGAGCATGGCTCAGCTAAATGAAAACCTCTCAAGCACAAATGTTTATTTTTTTCCTGGTCTCTTCATACAGAGTAAAGCAAGCATAGTGTCAGTAAAGCTTCCATTCCAGGATAAGGAGTGTGAAAGGGGCTTCTTTCCACAATCTCTAGGCACTTCCCACCCTTGAGGAGGCCAGACAAATGCCCACGAGAAAAGTCACTGGAGGGAATGGGGTCCTTAGTACAGAAAACTCAGTGAGTGTAGTGGGCTTTCTGAAGTCTAGGGATACTCTAATATCTCCTCAACACTAATCACCTAAAAGTGCTGTCCCACTGTACCACAACTCACATCTGGTTTTGTAGGTCTCTGGAGGTACCCCCACCCTGTTTTTAAATGTGTCAGTGTTCACAGGATCTGGTCCTTCTTTCTGCTTCTGGGCTCATACCTGGTCATTCTTCACTGCAGGAATTCTCAACCACAGTGTGATTCTGCCAAAAGGCATAGGACAATATCTGAAGATGTTTTTTAGTTTGGACTAGAATACAGGGAAAAGGGATGCTACTGAAAATCTTGTAATGCATGTGTCATGATTGAGAAGCCCTGTTCCAGCCCCACAAAACTCTTTGCCAGACTTTCTCATGTTTTTGTGCCTGAACAAAAGCTGCTTCCTTTACCTACAGCAATGCCTTGTCCCAACTTCTCTGTCTAGGAAGTCACTAAGTTCTTCCCATTGAGGATCCAACACTAAATGTCACCTCTTCTATCTTGCCCTTCCCAGAGTTAGATATTACTTCTGTGTTTGCAGACCAAATGAGACATATAGACCACAAGGAGCCTATCACTTGTTAAAGGCTTTACTCAGTGTTCCTCATCATTTATATCCTGGGTGCCAATCTGATAACTGGTGGCTCCTCACCAAATCAATCGGAGACTAAAGGGAAACACTGCAGATGCTCCTTAGACATTTTGTAAATATGTCTGAGGGACAAGTGTCCCAAAGTTAAAACAACAGCAGCACATATTTATCAAACGCTAGTAATGTGGACAGACACTGTTATTAAGCACTAGCACATCTACTACTGTAACTCATTTCATCCTTACAATCAACCTGTGAGTTCAATACTAAATATTACTAGCACTTTACAGATGTGAAAACAGAAACTAAGTCACCAATAGTCAAATCCTCTCAGACACTCAGAGGCCTCTGGAAAATACAAGTGAGAATTCCAGAGGGATTATACAACCGTGGAGTGGTCACCAGTTCTTGCAACCCTTTTTGAAACACTGCTCATGAGGATCATACAATTCTTCAACCACTGAAATGCTTTCCAGAACAAGAATCAGCCTCCCCATAGCATGAAAAAAGAAATATGCCCACCAGTGTACCATAAGGAAAAAAAAAAAAACAAGTGCTAATTCAAAGCACCTCTTACCTTGTTCATGCTGTAGGGATGGGAGCAAAGGACAAGACATATCACAATGAGAGGCAGCTTTTGAAGATTCTCCTTATTCCTGGAGCCCTCGCTTGGTGAAGCAGGCAGCCTCACTGTGAACATAAAGAAATCTATCAGCTTATACTCAGGGAGGGTCTGAACAGTTCTATGACATGGAAAATTGCAGTGATTCATATCTTTGCTGCCCAATTTGGTGGCCAAGGGGAAAGGGTGGAAGGGGGCCTATCTGGCCCCTCAACTGCACTGTTGGGGAACAGGGTAAGACAGTAAGGTTGGCACACAGCGGTACCGTTCACTGTTAACTCCTTGCCCATTTTAAGGAGGTAAAAGTTCAGACTGGAAAGTAGGTAGTATAATTTGAGGGCTAGATTTTTAAATTTTATGTAATTTGAATTAAACTTCAATAGCCAATGCAGTTAGTGTCTACATCATCAAACAGGGAAGCTCTGGATAGTCATATCAACATCCCTAAGGCATGCCTCTGGGTACCATGTATGCCAGCAGCCAAGAAAAAGATAGATGCTTAGAGTGACTGCAGACGCACAGGGACAATACTCATTGATTCACCAACTAATTTTTGAACACTTCCTATGGGTTGGATGCTGAGGATTTAGTGATCAACAAGAGGCCAGCGACTTACGAGTTTCTGATTCAGACTATAATTTCCTTAAAATGTCAAAAAAACTGTAACATTGCTAGCATCACTGTGTACCAGACCTGAGAACCTTTCCCTGATGCCCAGAAGGAACAAAAAAATAGTTAGGCACAGGCTGCAGCCTGACTATGTCACTGCCAGGGATTGGTAAGTGGCCCCCTTTCACAGAGCTTTGGAAAATAGTGTGTCACCATGGAATGTGGAACTCAGGAAGCCAGTTTTCTACAGACCAAATGAACCAAGTAATCTAACACCCCCAAAACGGAATACTGTCTGTGTTTTTATTTTTTTTCATGTGTTCATTCTTTACAAGGTTTTCAATCCACTTAAATTACAGTTTATGGGATGGTTCCACGATTCTCAATTTGTCAAATTTTAAATAAAAATAAAATATTTTCAATCACTTAAGTAGTTCTATTGCCTTTTCCTTTGAATGACATTTACAGGATAGATCTGAGATGAGAACAAAACACTGTAAGATTCCTTATCACCTTTTTCCTTATTCCTTTATTGATGCATTGTTTATTCAGGTTGCATCAAGGAAGAATTTAAGTATAAGCACTGTCCCATGAAAAATGGAAGCTTAACTGAACTGCAGTGCTTTTATAAATTAAAAATGTATTCTTTTACATTATAATAACAATATACAATAGATTCAACATGACACATAAAAGGTATTCTTAATCCTATTAGTTATCCACGATTATCTTTAACTGAGAAATTTGCTAAATGAGTCCAGGATATGGAGAAGTCTAAGGCTGGATTGCCTGTATTAACATCTTTCATTGCTAAGAAATGATTTTGCAATTATATTTTTAAGAGCTAAATTCCTACTTCGTATATATTACTATTGTGAGCATAGCATTACTTTTTTTTTTTTTAATAAATCGGAAGATAGGACAGCTCGTTGCAAGTTACTGTAGACAAAAGATTCTAAAGCAAATGCCACACACAGTCATAACAATAACATATTTTAACAATGGCATCCTGGAATTCTGATTCTTCAGGATGAGTATATCCAAACATCTCCATGTATACATGACCCCTGGGTAATCAAGTTCAAAGTTAAGAATATTTACTGTCTAATTCTCATCAACCTAAAAATGACTGAAAAAAATTATGCGAACTATAGTTTAGCATTTAACCAGAAAGCTTGTGCCTAATGTCACCATTCTATTAGAGCATTCACAACGTTACTGACACAGGAAAGTGGCCACAAGAGAAGATAGAGCAGGTGAGGAGCCACACCCAGCTCTAACCATGACGAGGTCTGGATTCCCTCAAAATTTAGGTATTCAGTTTACACTAAATTCATTATGGATCTCTCCTTGTACCACACCCTGTGTTCTTATGTCATTTTCATGTATGTCATTACATAATCAAGCCAGAAGGCTAATATTTCTTTCAGGGAAATATTAGTCACACAGAAAGTTCTTAATAATATGGAATTTTTTGAGGATGATACAGACTCTTAACATAAGATCTAAAAAACTTGATAATTTCTTCTAAGTGTCTTTGGGGCTTTTGTAAAAAAGGAAAACCTTTTACTATCAAAGTAGTAAATCTTCTTAAAAATATTAAGAATATCATGCAGCTATTTAGTACTCAAAACTACCATGGACATTTATATTAATGCTCTCATTTAGTAGTGACATTAATCAGAGAAGTAGTTTTCCTAACCAGATATGAGATGGTAAAAATACTCTTCCTGGTCATGCTGTAATAAGCAGCAAACCTGGACAAGAAGTCATTTTGACTTAAGACACTATGGAATTAGAGGATGTAAAAAGACCACAAGTGAAAAATAAATCTAACCATCTCCCCATCAATAACACACATACATCCTTCAAAAACCACCATTAACAGAAAACACTTCAGAGAACAGATGACAGTTTTAGAAACTGGGTCAATTTGCTTCTGGCCAGCAACCAGGAAGACTGGCCTTGTTCGCTCAAGTACTTTCTTTCCACGTCCTTTGAACAGAGAGAACCTGGCTGTCTTGCAGCCAATTCAGTTTATGAAGAAGCACAGTGAAATATTCAGGTCAAAAACCAGACTGCATCTTAAATATAATACATTAAGGGAAAAGATACCTGAGTTACCATGGAAGAATTCAGGAGCCTTCTTTTTATTCTATTTTTTATTCCTTCTTTTTAATCTTTTAAGAAGTTAGAGTCTCGTGGACTGAACAAAAAGAAACAGATGCCTTTACAGGGTATCCTGAGAAAGCCAACTCCATAAACCTATGTGTGACATCTATACCGCTGACCCTAACAGAGTTTGTGCAGTGGACAATAAAGCTTGTGGTCAATAGTGGGCATCTACAGGTAAATGAAATGCAATCCATCTTTAGAGATGAGCTGAAGTGTGAGTGAGTAGGCAGGCAGAGACAGGGCAAGTATATGCAGAGAGGAGCCAGGGAGCTGTTGGAGTACATGCTTAGCACACATGAGGTCCACGGACATACATCAGGCCAGCACACACACACGCGCGCGCACACACACGCACACACGCACACACACATACACACACATATACACACAGAAAAAATAAAAGAGAAATGAAGAGCTCAAAGACAGGAAGAAAGGTGAGTAAACACTTAGATACAATCTTGGTGATATAGCCAACCACCCCTCACTAGCCATATTTTTGCTACAATAGGAACTAGAGATTCAAGCTGCTGATGACAATTTCACATCCCACAGCATCTTTAGGGTTATATACTGCCAATACGTGGATGTCAGTAAGTGGGAGCTGGAGGAGCGTGAAGACTGGGTCTACCTGTTTCACTGCTCCGTATTTACCATCAACCTTCACCTACCACAGAGGGAGTGCACATGACTTCCTGGGATCACTACACTAAGGTGGTGTGAAGATCTGGTGAGAACAGCGTAAGCTGACTTTATACTTTGCTCCTTATTCTAAGAGAAGCTTAAAAGTGTCAAGGGCTGCTTCTGTGTGGATTATGGCTTGGTCCTTGACAATGCAGTTAATACTGATTGCCAGAATGGGATATGATGACTCAGTTTTCTTCACTCCCTTCTGAGATGTTTATTCTAGCAGCTTTTCTCAAAGCTAGGTAGCTAAGCACTCCAAAGGGATACAGGCCAACAAGAACAAGCAGGTCACGCTTCGCAATGTTAAAAGGTCTCACTGGCTTTTCGGTATATGCACCGTGAAGCAGCCATCAAATGGACTCTTGTTCCTCCCTTTCCTGTCACCACACACAGCAGCTCAGGCAGAGGCCTGGTGTGTGATGACCCACGACAGACCCCAGATCTCGAAGGAAGGAACAGTGAAGTAACAAAGATGAGCAGGCTTTGGGCAGAAACGGTAGAGAAGAATCTAGAGGAAAACTCAAAATTCTAGAACCGAAGAACTTGGGCAGTCAGCTGGACAGGAAAGAACAGTAACAATGGTTTCCTCCTGTTTTGCTTTTTAGAGTACCCTGGCTCACAGGCATCAGAAATTAAATCTTGACAAGCTTTACCTGGAATCCTTGCCCAAGAGTAAACAAATATAAGGCCATTTGATTACAGAAAGTCCAATCTCTCCCTTCCACAATAAGGCACATGGTGTTGGAATTAATGACCCAAGGTGAAGGAACAAGCATATGCCAACCTCCACGTCCCCACCCCTCTCAGCTGGCTCGCTCTTTTCTTCCGAAGAGGAGGCAGAAGTGCCTGAGGAGCTTCTTACAGGCCCTTCTCCCTCCTCCAAGTTATGTAACAGCTGCAGGGCTCTATTTCTTGAAGACCTCAGTGTCGTCATTGCCACACTGAGGCAGCAAACACTCCCTAACATACACGTGACCCAAGAGACTGGCAGTGTGTCGCCTGTGCCCACTTTCATTGCTCAGCAAGGAAGACATGCATCCTAAGCCAGACTGACAAGAGCACCTGCCGTCACCATCAACCAAAGGCCTTCCTCCCCGAGGACAGGGGAGGTGGTCTGAAAATTAATACTCTGAATTTTAACTAGTGCGTAAGTTACAGCTCAAAAGGAAATTATACTAAGGAAGAAGAAATAGGATTATAAATTATAAAAGAGAGACACTACTAATAAAAAATTGGTCTGAAAGTCAGATAAGTATTGCTTTCACATGACCACTCCTGGTGTCCATTCAAGGGGGTTGTACAGTCAAATCCCACCTATAGCAAGTGCTTATATTCGGGACTATCACTACAAAAGGCAAGCTCAGTCTTCCAGTCATTTAAGGTTATCTCAAAGGTGCAGTACTGAAGAACCCTTGAGGTAACTTGGCCAGCTCACTTCCTTGCTTGGGTGACAGACTAAACCAGGGGGTCACAAATTCAGATGCCAACAGCAGTCAAGAAAAAATAAGATGAGTAAATGGTCAAGCTGGGGAAGACAGTGAGGAGCTGCTGCATCTTCTACTTAGCACTAGGCCAACAAAAGCAGGGGAAAGATGCATGT